GTCGCGCATTGAGCTCCCGCCGCGTGCGCCCCAGGTTCTGGTGCGACTGTACAGACACGGGCTACGAGGGCGTGCGCTGCGAGCAGGAGGTGCTGGAGTGCGCGTCAGCGCCCTGCGCGCACAACGCGTCCTGCCTCGAGGGCCTCGCGAGTTTCCGCTGCCTCTGCTGGCCAGGTGCGTGCGGGTGCGCGTGCACGTGCAGATCCCCAAAGGGGCAAGCGGCGGGGGTCTGTGGGCAACAGCGCGCATGCACGAGTGTGGTCTAGCCTTTGGACTAGCCTATCACTCCACTTGTCTTCAGCCTGTTTCCTGATCTGGGGTTGATACTACTGTAGCATCTGAAGGGGTGCTATGGGGATTGTGAAGGTGCAGTGCCGGTGAAGGGGTTGGCACAGGGCCCGGCACTGCCAAGTGCTCAGTAATGCTGGTACTACTGTAGTGGTAATACTGGTAACACTGCTAGCCCACTGAAATGTCCTTCCCTCTCATGGGGGACTGCTCCCAGGCGTTGTCCCCGTCTGGCCTGGGCTGGCCTGGTAGCGGTGGAGGGGTGTTGCTTGGTGCCCTGTGTAACCTGCTGCCTGTGTGTGCCCAGGCTATAGCGGCGAGCGGTGCGAGGTGGATGAGGACGAGTGTGCATCGGGCCCCTGCCAGCACGGGGGCCAGTGTCTGCAACGCTCGGACCCTGCCCTCTACGGAGGAGACCAGGCCGCCTTCCCAGGCGCCTTCAGCTTCCACCAGGCCGCTGGCTTCCTGTGCCGCTGTCCCCCAGGCTTCAAGGGTGAGCCCTGCGAGGGTAGCAGCCAGCCAGTGTCCAGATGCACGCGGAGGGATGCTGGCTGGCCCTAGACCTGGCCCTGCTGCCTCCGTCTCCCTAGCTATGAAATGGGAGCCACAACTGGGCTTCTTGCAGGGGACGACTGCAGCGTGGATGTGGATGAGTGCGCCTCACAGCCATGTCTCAACGGAGGCCGCTGCCAGGACCAGCCCGATGGTTTCCAGTGCCACTGCGGAGCTGGCTTCACAGGTGCTCTGATGGGGCGGGTACTGGGACGGAAGACTGGAGTTGGTGGGTCTGGGTGGAGAGGCTTCACCTGGTCAATGTCTGGGTTGAAGGGGACCAGGAAGTTGGGGAAGGGGTGGATGCGGTGGCCCAAATGACAGCTGAGGGGAGCTGCACCCCAAACCGCGGCCTGGGCTTTGGAGGTGGCAGAGAGGGGATCGATTGGTTTGAGAAGTATTTAGGAGGGACCCTGTAGGTACCGTGTGAGGGAGGGATGTGTCAGAGATGGTGGCTGAGTTTGCCCTGGATGATGCTGGGTGGTGAGTTCAGCCTCGTCCATACTGAATCTGAGTGTCTCTGGAGTGTCCACTAGGGGAGGCCGTGGTGGGCCTCGCAGTCTCCAGCCTGGAGCCAGAGACTAGGGGCTAGCTGAGGCCAGCGGTGGGCTGCGGTTGACCTGGAGAATGTGGAGAGATCGCCGAGAGAAGCCTTGACACCTCCCATGGAAGGGTGCCTGAGGTCCAGGGGCCTGTGGGCCTCTGCCAGGTCAACACAGAAAAACTGGGACCTGTTGGTCCCAGCTGGGCAGGGCTGGGGAGAGTTTCCCTGCCTTGGGCATCTGCAGACACACAGGGACGCTGGTGACCCACAGACCCACTCTCTCCGCCTGTCCCTCTGCAATGCCTCCTCCATACTGCCTGCATTCCTGGGCGGGCACTGCCCCTCTCCCTGGCAGGTTCCTAGGCAACAAGGCTCCCCTGGGGGGAAGAAAGCAGAGATCACCAACCCCACCCCTCCCGTTCCCACCCACTCAAGATGCTGGGGCTCAGCATCCTCCACCCGGGAGGGCCAACACCCCTGGGGGCCCTGAAAGCCTGTCCGCTGCCCCCATGGGCTGAGGTTCCCCGAGTCCTGCCCCAGGAGTGCTCAGCGGCCCTCCACAGCATGCCAGCCCTGCAGGGGTTTCTCCTACCTCCCCACGGCAGCCCTTGCAGTGGGGGGTTAAAACCCCATCTTATAGACCAGGAGGGAGGCTCGGAGGAAGTGTCATCCCCAGGCTTACTGGTGTCACAGGGA